TATCTTAGAATTTGCAGAAAAACTCAATTCAACCAGAATGTGTTGGTTTTCAACCAGGCCTGCTTTCCGGGTCTACTGGTGGAACCTCTTCTAACCGGTTCGGTAGATTTGATGAACCGGTTCTACTGAATAGGTGCGAACTGGTAGGAACCCACCTCTGGTAGTGGTGCACAGTGCTACATCACAACACACCCCCCGCCTGTTCTGTAACTCTCATCCGCTGACCTGTGGGATGTTTTCATGGGACCTCCCCTGCATGTGATGAGCCCACCAGATAGAGGCAGGCAAAGATGATGACAAAGGGCAGCTGGGGATGCAAGTAGGGCAGCAGGAGAATGGTCATAAATGCAGGCACATTGAATTTTGTTCATGTGACCACAGCGGCACTGTGATGACCTGAACTTCAAACTCTGGTTGTAAGTCCCTTTGTTCAACATTACTGTAACTTAGAATAGTTGCTGAATAAATGGTTGTTAAGCAAGACTACTTATATACACTTGGGACAGAAAAGTACAATAATGTAAAGTTTGATTTCACTATAGAGAGAGCCTGCATTTGATCTACAGCAGGTGGTCTCTCAAAAAAACCCTACCACAGCATTGTGCCCTTAACTCCCTGCTTGCATGTGCTTGTACAGTTTTGTCAAGAGAAGCCTGATAAAACCATGCAGTCTCAGGAGCGATACCAATACAATGAGTGGGATTTTTAGTTTCCTCATATATTGTAGTATAACTGAGACATCAATGCTTGGGGTTAATGCTGTGGATAAGGAAACAGATAAGGACATGTAGCCTAGCCCTGTAATCTTAGGGGAAAGGTCAACATTGGTTTCACTGCTCTTTCCTAGTATGGATCTCTTTCGTTTGCTTTACTGACCCACAGAATGTGCATGACTATTGAAGGCAAAACCTATATTTCGAATCTACTTGGAATCTACTTTCCAATCTTTAACTAGCAGCAAGAAAAGTTCGTTGGCTTACAGAGTAGCTGGTGTGTTTTCAGGTCATACTCTTCTGCCATCTCCTTTCCATCCTCAAACAAGTAATGGATTTTTCGTTTACCTAAAGAGAGCACAGGATAGGTGGACCTAAAAAGGAGAAACAGCAGGAAATCCCATCCCATAGAATATGTTCCCCCCATTTGGCCAGAGTGACTTTTAGAGACTCCCAGCTCTCCATCCATGCTACTCCTCGATTAAACGCAAGTTTTGATGGAAATAAGCACCAATGTTAACGGGTTGATTTCCACATGTTCCTCACAGTGATAAATACACTTCAGTTAGAAATAAAACAGACTTGGGAATTTTTTCCATTACTTAATGTTTAATGTTTTCCATTACTTTAATGTTTTGTTTAAAAAAACAAAAACTTAAAGGGATCTTTAAATTAGATCTTCAGTCTATTATAGGGGCCCCCAACTTGGCAACTTTAAGGCTTGTGGACTTCAACTCCCAGAATTCTCCAGTCAGCTCTGCTGGGTGGCGAATTCTGGGAGTTGAAGTCCACAAGTCTTAAAGTTGCCAGGTTTGAAGACTTCTGTTCTGTTAGGTCTCCCCGGGATCGCCGCAACCAACAGCGAAGGCAACACAAGAGACTACCGTCTCCTCGCTCTTTGGAGACCGGAACTGCACTGCTTCTCCCACCTTGTAAAGCTCCCAACTTCCCCCGCTGCCCATTTGCCCGTGGCCGGCGGGTCATTTCCCAGACCGTCCCTATCCCAGCCCCCGCCATCCCGTTACCATCGGCGAGCAGGGCGGTCTTGCGAGCCGCACGCAACCTCTCCAGCCAGCCGGTCCCAGCCATATTGCGGCTCGGCTAGGCACGTTACCAAGGCAACGCCTCCCGGTCTTCCGGCCCTTAGGCCCTGACACGGAAGAAAACGTCGGGTCGCTCTTGCGTCACAGCGATACCGTCGGTAAGGAAACGTTGCCCTCCTCGGTATCGTTGTCCTCGGCCTCTTTTTGGACGTTGCGTAAGGGCTCCCCCTCCCTTCTCCAGTCAGAGGGGCAACGTAGGTGGACGGGTGGGTTTAAGGCAGCGAGGCAGGGCGCGCGGCGCACCTGAGTCGCCTTGGGCCGGGGGGTGGTGGACTAGATGACCTCAAAGATCCCTTCCAACTCTGTTAATCTGATCTGATCTGGAAGGGGGCTAGAGAAGCGCCGCGATGTTTTGGCCATGGCTGTCAGGAGCCTTTGACTCGATTCGCATCCCGCCTCCCAAATTCAGACGCTCTTAAGCGGGTGGTCTCTGGGCTGCGGTGAGCCGGGCTCGGGTTAGAGCAACGCTCCGAAGTGATGCAGAAAAGTTTTCCTCCCTTGGTCTCTCCACTCTCTTTGGGATGGAGTCCCACAACATCAAATGCGTTGATTTCAAGGACTATAGTCCTTAGCTGGCATGTCTTGTAAACCAAAGTTTATGGGAAGTGCATCAGAGTAACGTTAAATTGGGCAAAGACTCTCCTGGGTGCAGCATGAGAGATTTGCTTGTAGACACTTTTATTTGAAATAAAATTAACCCAGTGCTGATAGCTTTTGCTTCAGCTCCTGATTAAATGGTCCATTACTTTTAATAAAAGGCTGTGCCATTTGGTTTAAAGAGTAATTACCATACTACTTAAAAGTAACAATATTGATATTATTACTGTGTTTTCCCAAAAATAAGACAGGGCCCTATTTTCTTTTGGCATCCGAAATAAGCGTTTGGCCTTATTTTCAGGGAGGTCTTATTATTTTTGAGGTGCAGGAGGCGGTGAGCATGGTCACCTCAGGGCTGCTGCTGTGTTGCAATATTTTCGCTGAGGGCTTATTTTCAGGGGAGGGCTTATTGTAGCACATGCGCTCAAAAGCTCAATTGGGCTTATTATCCAGGAAGGTCTTATTTTCAAGGAAACAGGGTATTACTATTTTTAGCTGCTATACTTTTCATCGGCTTTGTCCGAGACTTTGATCACAGTTTCCTGGCTAGAGATTGCAGAATGCAAAAGTCCTACAAATTCAGATTCTCCAATAAAGTATTTTCCAACTCTTTAACAGTGGTCTCTAATAGCATGCTCATTATCCTTTTAATGAAAGAAATTGAACATTGAATCTGGGATAGAAGAACCATAGTTTATCGTGTTGGAGCACATGCTTTGTGTTCAGCAAATCTTAGATTCAATCTCTGTGGTCTTTACTTTTACCAGTTAAACTTAGCCCAACAGTGTTGGCACTACTGGAATAGTAATCTGACTCGTGGGTTCTTAATTCATAAAACACTTCCCAGCTTAATGCCCATATTTATGGATCATAAGTACCATACTGTCCTTGCTCCTCCTAAGTTTAGCACTTCATTCTTCTAAAGTAAGACCAGCCAGATATTTCAAGGAAAGTTACAATAAGAACTGTTTCATATATGATGCTGTTCCTAATCAGGAAAACAATATACAGTTTATTACTTGTCATGTGGATATGATATACATTATATTATATATTACAGTACATTTAAGAATATTACAATTTTACTCTTAAGTTAAAAAAAATGCTATCCCAAGGAGATCTTGTAAAATCCCATGGTTTTCTGTAGCACCCATATGCAGATGACATTCAACACTGATTTTCCATCCTAGACCTATTCCCTCTGTTTCCAATTGTCTCCCCAAATGTATCTGCTTATCTTCTCTACCCTTCAGCAAAATATCATTCCCAATACTAAAAAATATAAGCTGACAGTTGCAAAGAGAGATATAAGGAAATAGTTATATATAATTACAAGGTACATAAATTATGAACTGCTAATTTTACCAATCTTCAAATGTATTAGGTTAAGCATGATGAAAAGGGTCATTTCTGTGATTGACTGAGTGGGATATGTACTAGAACTATTAATCTGTTCTAAAATGATGGGACATTGACAAAAGGATACCTATTAAGAATTACCTGTTATTAGAATATATTGTTATTTTTACTTTTCCTTCCTACATCTTCAGCAAATCTGGGTTCTCCTGTTAGGGAAGGAGACATATATAGTTCATGGAACCTCAAGGAATTGTCAAAGCTTTCCGCAAACGAAAGAAGTTGAGAGATGAGGTACACAACGCACCTTTAAAGATTTGGAAAGAAGAAGCCAAGAATCAGCAAGGTGAATTTTTCCCCCCTGACTTTAGTCATGTGAAGCTCTCATGGTGTCGCTTGCATTGCTGTTAATTCTTGTGGTTTAATTTTATGATAAATGGTTCCTTTCAAAGAAATGACTTAAAAAGTTTGATCTTTATAAGGCAATATTATAACAAAATGACTATATGTTATAGAACACTAACTTTCATTATATTTCATTAAGTCATCAGATTTTCTTCACTCTGAAAAGATTTGTAACTCAACCCTATCTTGCTTATCATCTTTCTTGTAGTATTTTTACCAGGGTGGTTGGAGCCAATCACAGCTTATGTGTTGCAAGCAGGAATTGGCCAAGCCAGGGCTGAGATCTTCTGTAAGCAAATCATCCACAATGGAGGGCACATCTGCAGCCAGTTCTCCCCAGATGTGACACATGTAATAGTAGATGAAGACATGGATTTTGATCGGGCTTTTCGGCTCCTCAAACTCAAAAAGCTACCTCGGGGATTGCAACTAGTTAAGGCATCCTGGCTGAGTTCTTGTATTACAGCACAGCAGATCTTGGACATTACTGACTATAGACTCATCGTCCCAGAGAAGTAGGTCTCTCTCTTAAATACTTTATCCAGTTCGAATGGGGAAAGTTTATGCAAAACTGATAATCCACCTTCAAAATGTAATAGAAAAAAGAACTTCATTTGATATTTTTAGTGAAACCATTGGCCAAATATCCTATTTTTTCATAAGGTGACTGAGAAAGTGGTGGCTTTGATGATTTGGATGCTGATTTTCTGAAGTGATTTTACTGGATATTTCATCCGGGAAATGACACAACCTATTTTGGTTACTGTAGTAGATGAGCTAAGAAGGTAGTACTTGACTTACAGCACTTCATTTAGTGACCATTTGAACTTACAATGGAACTGATTTCCAACCATTGCAGCATCCCCATGGTCACATGATCAAAATTCAGATGACTGGCAAGTGACTCATATTTATGATACTTGCAGTATCCAAGGAAAAGGAAAGTCAGTGGGGAAGCCAGATTCACTTAACGACTGCAATGATTCATTTAATGACTGGCAAGAAAGGTCGTAAAATGGGGAAAACCCACTTAACAAATGTCTCACTTTGCAACAGAAATTTTGGGCTCAATTGTGGCTGTAAGTCAAGAATCATGGTATCCTTCAGAGCAACGGGCTATATGACAAGGTTGAGCCTTGGGAGCATTCTTTTGCAGTGATTCCAATTCTTCCTCTGAGAATTAGCCCAGAAGATGATATGGTGACATTGCTACTCAAATGTAGATCATTCACATGTGGTGTTCCATGGGATTCTGTCTTCTCCTCTGTCGTTTAACATTTACATGAAAGCAGTCAGGGAGTTTAAAAAAATTAAACTGGATATTTCAACAAGACAGCAGTCCAAAACGTGCTCTGAATCAAATATGTTTTTCTTATTAAGGACATATTTGATTTGTCTGTTGATTCGTTTCAAATGGGCTCCATATTCCACAGAGGTGAATATTATTGAATATGTGTGAAGAATCTTGGAACATATACCATGTGCAAGGAGATTAAGAATATTTCTGAACTAGAAGAAACTAGAACTAAAAGGAGGAATGGGAGAAAAATTCCCAAACAAGAATAAAACAGCTTACCTGCAGGAAAATGGAAGCTGTAATTTTGGCCAAAGGAGATGATATAAAATATTGAAAGAAAGGACACCTATTTTTTTTCCTTTGGCCATATTCACTGTTTCCTTATTTTGAATCAATAAGTAACTGCACATAAATAATAAGTAAACATTCACATTTTCAGGAAAATATGTTTGAGTTCTGTTACTTTATGAATTCATTGGAATTTTTTAAGTTTACAGGAATGTCTAATTTTTTTCCACTGAACTGTACCAATGTATGGTTGCAATGATGAACAGTGTGACATAGTTGAAAGAGAGGCCAATGATATAGGAGGCCAAAAAATAAAGCAGAAACCTTAGAATTGGTTCTGTATAATTGCAAATAACTAGCAGTGTAACTAATAGAATGTAAGCACACATGATCATATTTTCATTTCAGTATGTGCCTGTTTAATATAAACAGTAAACACATGTAAATCTGGATAGATTCTTCACTAATGCAAGATTTGAAAAAAAAATCATGTCTTTTGGAAATATATATCTGGTATGAATTTCCTAGCCCCTTTTTATATTGTTCTTCATCTGCCTTTAGTTGATAAGAGAAATGCCCCAAATTCAATTATTTGTTGTTTATTAATTCTTGGCAGATATCTGGATGACACAGGCTTTTCGGTGCAACGCTCACCATTACTGAATGAGAATAAGATTCACTCCAAAGCAGAGAACACAGTTATGGAACTGAAAGAGGAATCAAACACCGAGGTCAACTCTTTCTGTGATACTGTACAGGTAGTCTTTGATTTACGACCAGTAATGTTTGAAGTTATGATGGTTTTGGAAAGGGTGCTTTAAAGCACTTCTGGCCCTTGTAAAACATTGTATGCAGTGGTGAAATCTTAATATTTTTTTTTTGCCACTAGTTCTGTGGGTGTGGCTTGGTGGGGGGCACCATGTGACCGGGTGGGCGTGGCCAACTTTTCCCCACCTTTTTTTCCTGCTGGTTTGGGCAAATAGTTAGGGAAAAATGCTTTTAAAGGGGGGGGGGAAGGTTCTGATGATCGCACAGATCAGCTGTAAGCCGCGCGATCGTCGGACCCTCTCTTTTGTGATTACGATTTGCAATACTTCTACTGGTATGTATGAGCTCTGTAGGCATGGGGCAGCAGGAACAAAATCACAGAGCTAAAATCCTTTTATCCCTGCCCCTCTGTGCCTGCAGAGCTCTTCTGTGCTAAAATCCTTCTCTCCATTCCTCTCCACTTGTTTCCTGGGAATCTTGTTAGGTAAGCTCCCCGTTGGGAGAGCGAGTACGTTCAGCGAAGCNATTTTGAACAAACAACCATTACATTTTTATTTATATAGATTGCTACTTTTTTAGTTATGATTTATTTGATGGGGGAGCTTCCTCTGGAGATGTTATGCTGTCTATGTTGGACACATAATGCTAGTGTCCTCTCTTCCTCCCTTATAGTGTGTATAAAGATGCAATGTGTTAACTTTATTTGTATCAATCTTTTTTCCTTTATTACCAATAGCAACATGTATTAACTGTCTTATCTTGCAAAAGGGTCAAATTCATACTGAACCACTATGGTATTTTCCAGTAGCAACACCATGAGTAAGTGAGTGTGTGTGTGTGTGTGTGTTTTGAATGAATGCTCGCATGTTTTGAGCTTCTGTTCACGAAGAAAAATGTATGTGTTTTGCAGCGGGAAATCAGGACAGTATTACAAATAGTGTATTGTGTGTTGTCATTCCTGTTACACCACATCAGTGGTGGGTTCTAGGTTCTATGATATCGCTTATTAAGGATTACCGAAAACAAAATTCCTCTAATTCTGTTATGTGTTCTGACCAGGGTTTTCGTACTCTGGATGACATCCGCACTAGGGCCTCTCTCACCAGCCAGCAAGTTATCGGCCTTAAGTATTATGAGGACTTCTTGGAACGCATGCCAAGGCAAGAAGCTGCTGAGATTGAACAGACTGTGAGTACCTTGCTGAAACCATACAAGATGTTGACAGAAGATCATAGGCTATTTGTCACGAGATTTTAATCACAAGGCCATTCCGTGTTGGTTTTATTGACAATTCATTTTTTTTTCCACTTTGCAGTTTTCCAAATAAAACTCCCCAAAATATTTTCCAATGGGATACCATATTAGAGGTACTATATACTTAAACACTAACATCTTTTCTATGTTGATCCCACCCGTCTTCCGAACCTATTACTGGCATACCTATTTTGGGATGTTTGGGCATTCCCCCCTCCCCCCCACTTTACGATTTGAAATGCTAAAACTGGGAATCACCTTGTCCCGCAATGAGCCAAGATGCCACAGCAGGTATATGTGCCTTACATCAAGGGTTGAATGAAGGGACACTTCATTATGTAGAGTGTAGAAAGTAAGGAAGGTGACTGATGAAAATACCAAGGCAAAATGAAGTGATTTTTTTTTTTAAATCCAAAGAAACAAGATAACATTTGGAAGTGACTCAGGCAGGCACCTCATTGATTCATAGGAATCTACAAAGGGAAAGGATGTAGAACCCAGATTTGCAAGGCTCTGTTATTATAGATCAGTGTTTCTCAACCTTGGCGACTTTAAGTCCTGTAAACTTCAACTCCCAGAATCCCCCAGCCAGCTATGCTGGCTGGGGGATTCTGGGAGTTGAAGTCCATAGGACTTAAAGCTGCCAAGGTTGAGAAACACTGTTATAGATAATCTCAGTAAAAGTAGTTTTAACTTGCCCATGGAGTTGATTTCCCAGTCTCATCTTTATGCACCACCAAAGTCTTTATGACCTCATGTTCTTCACAACTGGAAAACACTTTTTTTTCCCTACTCTCAAATAGCACAGGCTGAGGAAGGCTGTCTTAGCTCTTACTTCCTTTTATATACTAGCCATTCAAGCCACGACTCTTAATGAAACCTCTTATTTGATGCAGTGTTCTCTCTCCATATTTGCTCAAAAGAACATGGCTCTAATCACATCCAAACTTCTGCCTATCAGAAATCAATTCTCCTTTTTAAGCACATCTACTGCAAAAATTGAAGATTTCTTTTTTCCCCAAGTTGGAGTTCCTTACAATTGATTGAGAAAGAAATTCAAACCTCCATCCTCGTTGATATGTTTTCATTTCTATGCTCTGCAAGCCTTTGTACCTGACCTAAAATCTAGTTTACCAAAATCATTTCTGCTTTAATTTTCACCAATGAAGCCTTGATAAATTCCCAATATGTTATGCCAATCCTCCTCTAAATAACTCTCAGATAACTGGTAGGATGATTGACAAAAACATCTGTGATTTTCCCTTGTTGCTCTCTTGGTAAGGAAAGAGTGCTTTGCACCCCTCTAGCCAGATGTTCCCCACCCTTGTTTTATATGTTTGGGCTGGACCTTACCTCAGGTTTATATATTAAGGCAGCTCTTTAAATTCAGAGATCTAAGCCACATAAAAAAAAAACCTTTTCATTGTTCCTCCTGTACAGTGCAATTGCCATGGCAGCACTGGGCAGCATGACACTGTCACTCAGTCACAGTGCCTGCCCCTAAAGAATGCATAGTTGCCAGGTAGGGCATCACCCCGTACATAGGATTAAAGTTCTTTGGGGAGCCTCCGCCCTTGGGAATGGGCCTATTGTGGATTTGATGGGATTACCCTTCTCTTGCCTACCTCGGGGAAGAGACAAGAGAAAGAAGGGATTAGCTGCTGTCTGTTCGAAGATCCAAGGTGCAGTATGGGGTTTGCTGCTTTCAAGAAAACTTAATTGGGGATGCAGAGGGGGCAGATCTGCATTAGAAAAGCCATGAAGGTGATTCCAAATGTTGCAGGGCAAAGGTTAATGGGTTTATTCCTCACTAATGAAGGATGATCCTGGAAACTGACAAGGGGCACTCATCCTCTAAACTGATTCCCCCCCTTCCCCCTACTCCCTATGTTCTGAACCGGTAGCTATGTCTTTGTTTGTTAAAATGGATGATTGGCATCATAATACTGATAATCCTGCATACCGAAATCGCTTTCAAATGATGTTTTAATAAAGACAGTATAGGAAAGAGGCTGACAGGGAATGTATCATTGGGCATGCACTTATTGAATTGGGAGTTCCAGTTCTTGATATTTAACTGCAGTTCTGAAAGAACAGTCAATTTCTTGTGATTAAGATCCCATACATGATACTGAATGTATCTCCTATAGCAGGAGAATCACCCATTCTCAGGCAAAGATAAATTGAATCCTTTTCAATGTGGAGTCGTCTGTGGTTCTATATTAGAAGAAAAACATGTTCAATCTGATGGGATTTTCCTTTATTTCCATGGTATTACTTTACTGTTCATTACAAATATTTGGGTTATGGTGGTCCTTACTTTTCAGTTTTAGTTATCATGCAATCAAGCAAGTGAGATGCTAGGCCATTGAATTACAGGTAGAGTCCTTGACATACAGCCATTTTGTTTGAAGCTATGCTAAAAAAAGTGACTTACTTCTAGTCCATGGACTTATCATCACATGTCCCCATGATCAAGTGATTAAAATTTGGGCACTTGGCAACTGGCATGTATTTTCATTGGTTGCTGTGTTTTGGGATCACATGATCACCATTTGTGACCTTCCCAGGTAGTTTCCAACAAGCAGTCATTGGGAGAATCCAGGTTCCTTTAACACTTGTTTAATGACTGCAGTAAAAAAGTCATAGTGACTCCGTTATTTCGCTTATTGAAGCTCCTGTCCCAATTGTGGTTGTAAGTTGAGTATTGAGGCATCCTTGGTAGTCTCTAAGCTTAGTTATTTTCTAGTGATAGCTTGTGATGCTAGGTAGCATCACTATCATTGATGATGTTACCTAGTTTTGGTAATGAAATGTCTGGAAGAAAACAACCAAGCTCAGAGAGCACCAAGGACGCCTCATTTCAACCCTGAGCTACAAATACTCTCCTTTATAGGATTGCCGGTATTACAGTAAGTGATACTTGAGAGCAGTTAATTTCTCTCATCTGTNAAGACAATACATCATTAAAAAAACGCAACAGTCATACTATTCGGGTGGGGTTGAAATCTTTAGCCCCAGGCCTGTCGGGACAGCCAGGTTTTAAGGGCTACGCGGAAGGTCTGAAGGGTGGTCAGGGTACGAATCTCCACGGGGAGTTCGTTCCATAGGGTCGGAGCAGCCACCGAGAAGCCACCGAGAAGTGGTTGTTACATGAGATGCCCTACACCAGGTCTCCAACCTTGGCAACTTTAAGTCTGGAGCAAAGCTGGCTGGGGAATTCTGGGAGTTGAAGTCCTCCAGGCTTAAAGTTGCCAAAGTTGGAGACCTGGTGTAGGGCATCTCATGTAACAACCACTTCATTCAGTTGCCAAAATTCTGGTCCCAATTTTGGTCATTAAATGAGGGCTACCTGTAAGTTTCTAGGATTGAAGCTATAAAAGTGAGCCTGATTATACATTTTTAGGCTAAGCCAGGGATTTTCTGTTAAAGTTAGCCAGTATCAAACTCTTATCTAAGCTTTGGAAAACCCCTACTATTTTGATTGTGGAAACAAACAAATCCAAAAGTGTTTTTTTATTTATATATTTTAAAATTTAAATAGTTAAATAAACAAACTTAATAAATATAAAAGTATCCTTAGTAAGAGATGCGGTGGCTCAGTGGCTAAGATGCTGAACTTGTGGATCAGAAAGATTGGCAGTTTGGTGGTTCGAATCCCTAGTGCCATGTAATGGAGTGAGCTCCTGTTACTTGTCCCAGCTTCTGCCAACCTGGCAGTTGAAAGCATATAAAATTCAAGTAGAAAAATAGGAAACATCTTTGGTGAGAAGGTAACAGTGTTCCGTGCGCTTTACCTTTGTCCTTAGTAAACCGAGGCTCTTAAAACGTCTTTTCTTTATGTTTGTTTTTCAGAAAAATATAGGACAATAGAATAAAACAATATGTAGTAAATGATTTGTTATCATGCAACCCTCTGTTCAAAGTATGTTGTTGTACATTCTGACTTTATTTTTTATTTTTTGGCTATTTGTTTATTTATGAAATTTATTTGCCACCCATCTCGTATCCAATGACTTTGGGTGCCTTACAACATAATTTCAGAATATTCTGGTTGCATTTTGTACATTTCCTAAAGACTTTCATATAGTATTTGGACTCCACTGAATAAAAAGTAAAAACTATTGTTCAATATTTTTCTATTCTGAGCTGCTTAGTAGGGTACCCAAGATATGTCATATGGAATTTTGGTGCCTTCTTACGGCTATAGAATGTAAAGGTAGCAAATACCTACTAACTGTATAATTTGATGCAAAATATTCATTATTACTTTTCATCATGCTTTTAACATAGAACACATTTACTGTGACAATCAATTGTATTTTGGTCAGCCCAGATATTTTGCCATCTGTACTTCCTAATTCTTGATAACCATTACTAGGAACATAAATTGTAGATATGAAACTACTAGTTCAATTTATATTTGCTTTGACACTGGGTTTCTGTGATTATTTCTCATGGGTCTTAATTCTGCTCTGTATTTTATTTTTATTTCTTTAATATAATTTTTATTGAAGAAATTTTAACAAGACAAAACCAATACAAATATTACAAAAGAAACCAAAAAAATGAAGAATTGTGCCCCATACTTTACAATGTCTATATATTGTTGCAGAATGAGCTCATATTCTGTGATTGGATAAATGATCACTCAGTTTCATTGCTCCCTCTTCTGCTTCTTCTGTGTATCTCAAAGAGGACGTTAGATGATGAAGAAATTGAAGAGGACAAAGCTGTTGTCACTCTGGAAGAAATGAAAGCGCTGAAGTCAGGCCAAGACCTGAACAATTTGTCAGAAGGCTCGTCAGCGTGCAATTCCCGTGGCAAGTGGGTTTGTGCTCGGTCTTCTGAAAGCAAGAAAATTAATCATAATCAGTGCATTACAGAGAAGCTGGAAGTGCTAGCTAAAGCCTACTCTGTCCAAGGAGACAAGTGGAGGAATCTAGGCTACATGAAAGCTATTAATGCACTCAAGAGTTATCATAAGCCTGTCACATCTTTTCAGGTAAATGAGACAAAATGTTTTAAGCATGTTTGTATATTTATTTTCTCCAAGGTATCTGTACTTTTCTTAGTATTTTTTCCCCTGCAGGAAAAGTTCCAATTTGTGTTCTTTTTAATGTTATATAGACAGGTGATTTCAAACAGCTGTGGCGTGCATCTACTTATATATCCCTATTATTTCATCCTGCTGTTGGAAAGTATTTTACTATTTCTACAATGGTATGCAGAACCTTTTACCAAGATTGTGATCTTTTGAAAAGAGTGCAGAGAAAGGCTGAAGCTGCCTTGAGATTCAGACAAAAGATCTGTAGGCCAAAAGTAAAAGATATAAGGGAGTGTTTGTAAAGCTTGCATAGTTTTCTAAATGCTAACCATGGTTTTTTTTTTTTAGGATGGGGGTCTATCTTAGAAAGTTGGGTGAAACACAGCATACCTAAAATACTCAGATTAAATAAGTATTTGAGCTTTGCTTTTAACCAGTTGCTCTTTCATTGTTCTCCTTTCAGGAAGCCTGTAAGATTCCTGGAATTGGAAAACAGATGGCAGAAAAGATTGTAGAAATCTTGGAGAGTGGGCACCTTCGAAAACTAGACCACATCAGTGACAGTGTCTCAGTGCTAGAACTATTTTCCAATATATGGGGAGCAGGAGTAAAGACTAGCCAGATATGGTACCAGCAGGTAATTCTCTAACTATATAGCAATAATGCTGTGGTCATTGCCTCCTATTTGTTCATGCTATATCTTTCCTGCAAGGCATACAAGTTTATATTAGTACTAGCTGTACCCGGCCATGCATTGCTGTGGTCCAGTCTGGGCGTAATGGGGCGACAGGTGTGTACTGTCGTTGGTCAGGACTTGGGGCTGCTGGGCCGGGCGAGGCTGGTTGGGCGAGAAAGCGCCGGGGCTGTCGGCCTCGTGGAAGTTGTTGAGCATCTCCTCGGAGGAGCTGTGCTCAGGCTCCCCCAAGTCAGTGGCCTGGGAGTTTGAGACGTCCAGGATCTGGGAGGAGGAGAAGTCCTCGGTGTGCCGCCTCACGGGGCACCCAGGGGCTGCCCCAGCCCCGCTGCACCTCAGGCTGACACCGCCGCCGCCCTGTCAGAGCCGCCTTGGCGAGGCCGTAGCTGTCTTGCTGTGAGGGTGGGTGGAGAGTGTGCGTGGCCGGCCGGGCTGAGGAGACCCTCTGCCTCCTCTGGAGCTCCGCTGGGCTGGCCGGGGGTAGGCCGGCTTAAAGGCAGGGGGAGGTGGCTGAGGGATGGCGCAGGTGGCGCCCCGCCTCAGACAGCAAAGGCCCAGTGGGAGGGGAGGGGAGGGGAGGGGAAGGCCAAAGGGCTTCGGCTCCCCTTGGTGGAAATGACCGAAGCTTGTCAGAGGAGGGGCGGAAAGGGGAAAGGGTGCGGCCGCAGCCCAGCCACACATATAAAG